TGCCTGGTAAGTTATGTTTTCAGTCTTGTTTTTATATTAAATATTAATTATCTCTGAGTACCATTGTTGTGTATTTAAGTTCATGGAAACTATAAACCAAAGATTGCGCCATGCATATTATTGGTCATGCTTCCAAACTCTTGAAGACAAGAACTGAGAGCAGGAGGCACTGATATCTGGACGTGTGATGAAGGCTGTATTGTTAATGTTAATTTTGTCTTCTGAATTATAGGTTGGTTCCAGAAATTAAGAGTGCATTTTTTGACACGACATGAAGAAGAAGCAAAGCTGACAAGAACCGTAACGTCCTCAGCCAGCAGCATATCAGCTTCACCCTCAGCTACCACGTCCTCACAAACGACCTCCCCGTGTGAACCAAAACAGGCGCTGTCTGTTCTGAGCTCGCAGGAGCGATTCAACAGAAAGTTTGATGTGCTTGTGTGTCACAGTTCAGTGGACAGTGACATTGAAGAGGCACAAAGACTTGTCTCCTTCCTAGAGGCTTCTCCCTGTGGTTTTAGGTGCTTTCTTCGGGGGAGGGATGACAGTCCAGGCAGTGCAATTTCCACGGAGTTATACGAGGCTGTGCAAAACTGCCACGTATGGGCTCTGCTTATCACTCCAAACTTTCTCGAGGATGAATGGTGCAAGTATATGATGCATCAGGCTTTGGCAGAGGGGCCCATGTCTCATCGGATTATTCCACTGATTAAAAATTTGTCCCGCGCTCAGGTTCCTCAGGAACTGAGATTCTTTTTCCATATTGACCTAAATATCAACCCTCACCGAGGCCTTACTGTTCTCACCCAAACTGTGCTCAAGAGTAAGTATAAGGAAAATTATGTATATTGAATCTGTTTTTGCCAGTAGTATTTTTTTTTTAGTCTTTCTGCATTTTTGAAGGCAAGTCATTTTCAGTAATGTCCTTCAACTTTCCCTTTTAGACCTGGAAGAGCTTGTTAAAAAATCCAAGACACCTCAACTGTGACATGGAAAGCTCAAGCAAAGGACTAAACACAGCAAAAGAAGCGGGCGTAAAAATGTCATTCAACTGAGGCTTTTTAATTTTTATGCAAGTGATAAAAAGGAGAAACTGGGGCTTCAGCTCTAAATGGTGCCACTGATTTACAGTTTGGTCTCAGTCACTCAACAAACACAGAGAATTAGCCTTCCTCTGGTTCATTTCTAAGTACTGATCTCTACAAGGTTAGCCTCAGAAACATTTGACCACAAAGTTATTATTTCCAATGCCTCCTTTCTACCTGTTGCACAGTGTCAACCTTGTTTCCCTCTTGTGTTTTTTGATAAATGCACACTAACAGCTTTCACAAGGTCTCCACTACTTCACAATGTGATCACAAAAACTGAATGAATGATGTTAAAGAAAGAACAAACACAATAAAATGCAAAGTTGAACTGTTTGAACTTACAGCAGACCATAGTTAAAGACAGTACAAACAAAAAGACAAACTACAGAGAGGGAGGTTGAAAAAGACTTCTTTGACTTACGGTATTTTCTGTCAGTTCTCAGATCTTAGTTCAGCATTTTACCCAGATAATTATAGAACTATACTATCCTGCTTGATGAGTGGTCTGTTGGAGCTTCCTCCTCTGTGGCCTCATGGCCCTGTACTTCCGCTCTGATTTATCATGCAAAAACTCTTAGTTTCGTGTCAGAAATAAAAAAAAAGCTAGATGTCACAGAATCATTTGGTGAAAGTAAAACATCAAAAAGATGTCAAACTGTCGATCAAAGCTTCAGAGACACAGACCTTAAATTTCTTAAACTGGGCAAATTCTTCAGTCTCATTTTTTTTAGGTTCAGTTAGTGTTTCAAAAATCAGCTCTTAAAAAGTTCACGCATTATCTTGATTGCACCAAAATATATTTATATTTTTTTTTTTTCAGGGCTAATCCAGAAATCTTTGAAATGCATCAGATTAGTTTATAGTGAGCCTAAATTGTACAGGTTTCGTTTTGATCACTTTAAGAAATTAAATTGGATTAAAAGTTTTATCCAGTGTCTTCTGGACTCTTTCATTTCTAAGACCTGTTTGAGCCATTATTTAATAAATGGCTCTAACAGGACCTGTGTTACGTTGCAGACAGCCGCTGCCTCAAATCCTGAGACTGTGTAGACGTTTTTTGTTGTCATGGTCAAAACTGAGACAGATTTGTTTTAGTCGAGACACCTGCAGGCCTAGAACTGCCTGTTTAGAAATCCGAGGCTTGTTGAATCATCTTTAATTTCAATTCTGAACACAAACCATTGATTGCAAAAGAGATATTAGTATACTTTTCCCCCTTTAAAAATTGAAGTTAAATGTAGTTTATCCATGCCTTTAATCATTTATTCACAATGTGGTATTGTTTAATCACCTTAATACAGTCCCAGATGTTGATCAAGTTTTCTGCCATAAGAATAATTTTGTTCCTCATGTAAAAAATGGTGTTAGATTTTAAATGAAGAATATTTTACAGCAGTGACTCATCACAATTCACTGCTATGGTTTTAAGGAGGCCAAAGCTACAGTTACACATTGTAAGATTTGTCCTTAATTTTTTTGTGCATAACCAGTGCAGTGAAGGCAAATTTGCAGCTGTCATTAATGTGTTTATACCAGGAATTTCTGTTTGTACAGTCAGTTTGGGACACTTAGTTCAGTTGAATTCTAGCCCTTCAACTGGGTTTACAACAAAGCATTATCAATGCGTGTGACTCTCCAGTGATCAGAGCAGAAAATGTCAGTTCACTGTCACAGGATGTGACTGATTGAGCCTACCAGTAGGTGGTGTTGTTACATCTTTTGACATGCTGAAGGCTGACAGGCTGCAGAGGCTTCACAGCAACAACAGTCAAAAGTCCCTGATAGATGAGGGTGCAAGGTAAGGCTCCTTGTCAGGGCAATCGAGGACCTTTCCAGAGCTGCAGAAACAAGTGGTCTGGGGCTCTGGATCAAGAGGAAAGAGCTCTGATTGGCTCCCAGGAGATCAGATGGCATCCACGGGGTTGGCTCAGGACACCGGGATGCTAACCCCTATGGAGGTGTCACGGACCTGTTAGCATAATTTCAAAACCCAGAGGATGTCACTTCTCCTTGACTACTCTGTAGTATCCAGGCAGCGATAGGAACTAGCAAAGCAGAGAAACTGAATCAACCAGTTTAACTAAAGAGATCCTAGGGTGTTGGAGTTGCAGTGCCACTTGTTGAGGGCAAATCTTTCAATCAGCACATTGACACTGATTTTATTCAGAAAAAATGCGAATAAGAGATTGAACTCATGCATCTGGCCTGTTTAGATTAATATATCGAGCTGCAATAATTCTGTCTGAGTGGTTTTAACTCAGCTGCTGGGAGTAAACTCTTAACATGTTAAAGGGCTTGAAGAAACACCTTGCTTTCCCTATCCAAAGACTTTCTCTTCTCTGCAGGTATGATTTAATGTCCCTGCCAGCAGCTCCCCTTGTTGATTTAGCATGCTGGCACTGCTTCACTCCAGACAGAATATCAAGTGAAACAGTTGTTACCCTATATAATCATTACATACATGCATTACACAGTTTTTTTTTCAAGGTACCATCTGCCTCCCATGTGTTATCATGTTCTCTTTCTTTTTTATCGGCACCAGTCTCCCACATCTCCATCCTCCTTAAAAACAGTAGACAATTCAGACCACAATGACAGACCCTTGTGGTAAGCCAACATCATAACAAACATTTAGACTAATCTCTGAAAATCACAGATGTTGTATGAGGATTCTGCTGTTACCATGACAAATCCTCCTCCAGATGAGACACACACGCACACACACACACACACACACACACACACACACACACACACACACACACACACACACACACACACACACACACACACACACTGTAGTTGAGACATACTTATATACTTTTTTCTTAAATCAAAAAAACAATATGAATATCAAAAGATGATTTTGAATGGTGTATAGTCATCGAAGCTAACTTGGGTCTATTTTAAATGAGTCCTCATTAGCTATGCACCTCTTAACAAAGAGGATCTCATGTCTGTTTTTACATCCAAGTTCATCAGTAGAAGTCGCTTTATACAAAGCAATATCCACGCACGATTTTGGTCTAAAAGTAGACTCACATGAGTTGCGTTTGCAGGAATTATAATGCTAATGTTTTGCTATGACAATAACACAAATATCTGGGGTTGAAGAGTGACTTGCTAAGAGTAGGAAGGACAATGTTCCCTTGGAAAGACCCTTGATGTCAGGTCTAAGTCTAAGGTTTACATGATAGGAAAAATCGAACACAAACCCAGTGTTGGGGGACTCCTGAACAGATGTGACTTTGTTGTTGGAATTACAAAAAGAAATGATAATGCTGTGCTTTGGACCAGGACTCACCTGAACATTTTTATCTGTGGTGAGTTAATTGAGCGTGCCAGTAAAGCACCAGCATCCAGCCAGTTTGACTGTATTCCCAGGTATTGTGCAATGAAACACAGGAAGGCACCAAGTCAAATAAACATCAGCATGGTTTTACTGTTTGTGGGCTGCTGAAAATTGTTTTTAATCAACACAGCATGATAGTTGTAGTCAGGCAATACAGTTTTGAACATCTGCTTTCCCAGGGACCAAGTTTATGCCCCACCAAGTAAGTCTTTTATGTCTTCAACAGTCTCATTGTTTTGTTGTCTTCATATTTACGCCTGTAATAGTTTATGATTTACTAGTGCTGCCTTGCTGAGAAATCATTTGCTTTTTGTGGTGCAATGAAAATCTGATCCGAACTGCACATGAAATGAAAAACAAGACCTCAGGATCTGCAGGAATTTTACAATATTTTGGCAAACCATGGGAAAATGGAATTGCACACAAAAGTATGCCAGCTGGAAAACACAGTATGGACTGAACGGTTCCTCTTACACGCTGAGTCTGACTTAAATCACTGGCACAGTAACTCGATAATGTAATGCAGCAGAGAGTTAGTTGGCTTGTAAAGTAGTGATGTACTTTTAGGCTCTATTGGGTTATTTACAGAACCCCCACACTGTCCCTGATCTGGAACAAGTAAACATTTGTGTTAGGTGTCATCAGATTTATATCTTGTGCAAACCAAATGTTTTTGCCAGGTGTTACATGAGAGGAGATATTCAGTGTATTTGAAAACTACTAACATCTGTTATATCAAAAATAAAAGAAAACAATGTAAAAAACAAATGAAATTGATAAACAAATTGTTTTTTTTTCTCTAGGGAATTACTTATTGCAAATAATAATGAGACAAAAAAGGATTAAAAGAAAGGGACACAAATTTAAAACACATTCACTAACCCAGAAAAACTGAAAAATCAACTTGAGGCTAAGAAATGCAATAATTATAAACAATAACGTACACCTGGACTGGATTAACACACACATGAATCTGGAATGATTATCACTCATAGACTGTATATAGAGTGGATGCCGTCTGCCTCCTTGCTGGGTGAAGCCACTCTGAGAACAGCACCCTCTGGTGACAGGCTGCAGTATAGGTCATAAATCCCGCCTCTTCCCGCGAAGCTTATGGGGCTGTGGACAAACTTTAGAAATAGAATATCTCCCCCCTGCTTGCGATGTTGACATGGAGTTACAGTAAGACTGGTTTGTGCTCAAGTCTTTTCTCTGTGAAGCTCCATTTTTAAAAGTTATTAGGGGGTTCATGTTTTCTTTGATTGACACCTGATACAGCCAATGGGTGTTCAAGGATTGCGTAGCTCACCCGGGGGAAACGTTGTTTGAGCCGAGCATCATCACAGCGACTCTTAGCGACTCTCCCGCCGAATGCGCACAACGCTACTGCACAATGCTGGTTCCAGGAAATGAAGAAAATCGCAGAAATACCAAGAGCTTTTCGGCTTTTCGGCCTTAGTTTATACAGTCTATGTCATCACTGAGTGGGCTCAAAATCTCTCTCAGTGTCAGCCTATTCAGAGAGGGAACCATCTGCAACCATCTGAACTTTTATGGGCCTAAGCTTTTATAAGATGAGACAAACTGGAAAGATGCCCAGTGGTCGGATGACTCAAAATTTGTCATTCTGTTCAGAAACCATGGACGTCATGTCCACTCCCAAGGAAGGGAAGGGTGGACCAGCCCTCATGCGATTGTACAACTCAAAATCCATCATCTGTGATGAAGTGGATCTGCATAAGTGCCAGTGGCATGAGCAGCTTACTTGTTTGGGTATAGTTTTATAATATATACAGGTTTTTTTGAAGCAGCATTATGCAGCCATCTGGATACTGTGTGTTTTTTCAGGGACAACCTTACATAATTAGAAACACCACAATCTGCACATTCTACAACAGCATGAGTCTGTAGTTAAAGCTCGCTGGTGCTTAACTTGCCAGCCTGCAGTTCTGACCTTTCACCCACTGAAAACCGTGGCACAACATGAAGCATTTACTCAATTAAGGAGACCACCAAATGTTGAACATCTGAAATCCTACATTTGGGAAGAATAGAACAGCCTTTCACTTTTAAGACTTCCAAAAAAATGGTTCCATAAAATAATGACAATTTTTAGTTGCGTTTGCTCTATTTTCAGTTAAACTTGATTTATAAGATTCAACCAAACCTGTTCTACTTTTTTTATCAACATTTTACACAGCCTCACAACTTCTGTGGAATCAGAGTTGTATCATGTTAGATCCATCCTTGAATAATCTGCTTCTCATCTGCTACTCTTACGCTCAACATCCGTCCTCAACATGTTACCATCTGTAAATTTACTGTATCTGCTTAAAGGCATGATGAGGGACCTGCATGTGTTACATGATGGCTGTTCTATGGGAGATTTTTCCCTCCTTACAGATGAATCACTGTTCAGGAGCAGATGTGGCCTTATATAGACAAAACAAAACTGCATGAGCTGAAGATAAAGCTTGATAACAATGAACAACATTGTGAGAGTAGAGAGGGCTTAAAAGGCTGGGGAAAGACTCAGCTGACTTGAAAATGATATTAGGATGATTAAGGGAAATAAAAATGTCATCTTTCATCATTTCATACACAAGCCAACAGAAGCTGATGTTCAACTTGTGCTAGGACGTGAGCTCCTCAAAGAACTGTAGGCTAATTTACACTGAAAAGAGAGTTTTCAGTGCAACTCTGTTAGAGTAACTGTCATCATTTCTACCTCTTATTTTTAAGATTCAGTAAGAACTAGAGTTTCAAAAGTCAAAATAAACAGTTTTTTAATACATATATTATGGGGGAAGAGTATGTTTTACTTAGGTTTCCTTACACTAGCATGTACATAAACCTACAAATACTACATAAACTTTACTCTGAAAGTGTAGCGTTTTGAAACAACAGGACTGGCTCTGCTCTGAGTCCGGATGTTACAGGATCACAAAGCGAGGTAGGGGGAGGCAGTAGCTGAGGAGGTATAGTGGTCATCCAATGACTGGAAGGTTGACATTTCAATCCCCCTTATCCTAAGTCTGTCCGTTTTGTTCTTGGGCAACACACTTAACCCACCTTGCTCCCATTGCGTGTAATTAAGTAAATGTTACTTTATATCTTCCCTAGGGCCTGACCGATATGGATTTTTTGGAGCCGATGCCTATACCGATTGTTAGGGGGGAAAAAAATCGGATCACTGATTGATTGGCCGATTTTTTTATTTTTTTTATGAAGTTCTAAAAATAACATATACTGTAGATACTGTAGATATACTGTAGGCTACTGCTCTTCACACTGACAGGAAGACCAACTGATCAAACTCGGACCAGAAAAGCGTTTTCAACTACCCCCACCCCCGCCGATCGGTGCCTACACGTCTTTACTCACGTTACACATTTACGGTCCGGTGTCATCTGGAAACATGCAGCTGCCTCAGTAAGAGAAGTAGCTCGATCACATAATGTTTACTGTTGTTTATTCTACCGTTACTGGCACAGCTAACAGTGTAGCAAGGCTAATAGCAGATGGCTAACTCTAACCTTAGCTTGCATATTACATGGAACTTCACTGTTTACTCGACGCGACCGAGACCAGCACAGCGGGGAACATCGTAAAGTGGGTTGAACTGAAACTTGTGTATTTCACAAAATGGTTTATTTACCGTTGAGGCGGACCACTCTACTCCGTGCGTTCCTGAGCTGCCTGCTTCAGATCCGTCACTCTGCTGTGCTGTGAGATAGTTCATGGATGAACATTGTCATGAGGTCGCTGCACCATCTACAGGATAAGTCGGGGAACTTTTCAAATGGCGGAACATTGAACATCGAAGTGAAACTGTATCTTATTCTCCGTATTTAATTTCTGAAAATATCGGCATAAATTGGCGAGTTTTGGCAGATTACCGATTAGTCTCAAACGGGCTAAAACTGGCTTATTTGGGCCCTAATCTTCACACAGTTATATTTTAGAGAAAGTAAAATTTACTTGACACTGGCAAGTGAGTGTTACTTGTAATTGCAGCATTAAATTTTACTTAAATCATTTGCGTGCAAATAGTTACAGTTACAAGTAAATCTTGAGTTATTTTTTCAGTGTAGGAGTCAGGTGTACATGTGCCTACCTACTGTGCTTTTCATTGTGCATGCGACGAATGTGCACTTCTCAAAAATACATCTTTCCCCAGTACTTCGTTATCTTTATTTTTCAGTGCTTCAGAAGGGTTAACTGGCAAATTCTTTAGCATGTGGTCCCCCCTGATAAAACTCTTGTTCCTGGAGAGGAATCAGGCAAATAATCACAAAAATCTTTGAGGACTTGTAACAATTCAACCTCTTTGTGTATCAAGACAAACGCCAGCACCATCAGGTTTCGGCTTGTACATGAAAAAAAGACACGGTATGTGGCCTTGCTCTCTCTCCCTCTCCAGTGCGCGTAAACTGGAATGCGCATGCGTTACTCCACTTCAGAGGAAAGGGAACGGGCTGTAACAGAGAGCGTTCCAGTAAACCGCTATAACTGCCTGCGGACTGCATGCCACCGAGACCCACAGTAAAGTACCCAGCGCGGTTCTTGTTTCCGCTACATTGTTCAGAGGAGGGATGAGCTTTGATGCTCACGTCACATCACTACTCCTATCCGTGTGTGCGCGCTGCGGACTTCACCGCGTATTTCTCGTTTTCCCACGCAGGGATTGCCACCCAAAAGCAACGTGAACTTGGTAGCAACATCAGTCCAGCAGGCTCGCTCCACGGATTAAACCTCATCTGTCTGGGAGTGCTGCTGGTGAGTAAGTCTGTACAAAAGGGCTTTGGAGTTCACGTTGAGCAGCAGCAGCAGCAGCCTGTGTGTGCAAGGAGCTCTGTGCAGGCTTGTTGTAGGGAGGTAGACTTTAACAATGATGTGTGATGTGTTGTGACTGGTTTCATTGGCTCGCAAGGAGTCAGATTTAATTTGTTTGGCTCAAGATGGGATTTGCACATTTAACTCAGTGTCAGCACAGTTTTCTTTATCGTGTTACCTTTTGAATAAAAGTAAGATTGGCATGGAGAAGATTTGCATGCCTGTTGATAACAAGCGCTTGTAGCACATTTCACCTCATCTATTTCCCACCACAGACAAAGACCTTATAATCTCTGAATCTAATTTAATATGTAAGTAAAGTTGTTGTCAAATTTGGCATCAAGTCATTAAGATATTAGGGGTGGGAGAAAAAATCGATTCACACAAGTATCGCGATTTTTTGTTTTACAATTGTAAAATCGATTTTTATGTTCGAAAATCGATTTTTTTTTTTCAGATTTAGGAAGAAATCTTAAAAACTGACTTACATGTGATGTGTATTTTTTAGGGGGAATATGGTTCCCAGAATAGTCAAAATTCAATCATAATCATTCAATTGTTTCACTGAATGCGGACTAAACATTGAGAAAATCAACAATATCATTTGAATTGAATTGGCATCCAAAAAATCGTAGAAGAAACAAATCAGTAGATAAGCGTATTGTCCAAGTCCAATGAGATATTAGGGGTGGGAGAAAAAATCGATTCGCACAAGTATTGTGATTATTTGTTTTACAAATTTTAAATCGATTTTTATGGTCAAAAATCGATTTTTTTTTTTCAAGTTTAAGAATAAATCTTAAAAACTGACTTACATGTGATATTTAATCATTCAACTGATTCACTGGTGTGAAAAATGCTGACTAAGTATCGAGAAAATCGACAATATTGTAAAAATCTCAATGTAAATTGAATCGGCATTCAAAGAATCGGAGAAGAATCAAATCGGCAGAAAAGCAATCATCTCAGCCCTGTAAGATATGTCAATATTTTTCATCCATCAGACCTTTGAGGCCGAATAATTTGTACTAAACATAGTCTAGATGGAAAAGGGTGTCTTCAACACCTGGTGAATCATCGTCATTGATAAAGGACTCCCTGCGCCATCCTAAATCTCTCTCAAGTCAATCTAAGGGAGCTCCAAGGTGTTCATTCTTGTTCCCTAAACAAAGTATTTTCTGTGATAAAACAACAGCCAAGTTCAAGGGCAAGGCTGAGGAGCTTACATAGTTTCAGAGTTGCAAACACAAGGAACTAGCCTGGGAAGTTATTGAACCTAGAGCGCTGGAATTAAAGAAAAAGGCTTCTCTCGCAAGGTGCAGGGCAAGGACCTTTTTTCAATGGAAGCTCAGTATCATCCCTCATGCAGAAACCACTTCAACACAGGGCACCAAACCTACAAGCGTGGGGTGGAGAGGGCAGAAAACAGGGTTACTGTCTGTATTCTCTTTAATATACAGCATTGCGACATTGCTCAGTTTCATAGTTATTTGTAATCACTGATGTATTGAAAAGGGCTTTGTAATAGTTTTCACATGGCAACTTGAGGCAATCTGGCTGCCTTCCCTGTGCTGCAGTATTTCTGCTCTCAAGTGCTCGTCCTTGAAACAGTCAAGATGTCTCAACACACATCTGCACTCTGAAGGTTCATTTCAGGCAAATACAATCAAATCCTCCAATAGCGTCGCAAAGCTTCCATACAGAACTACCACTGTACTTAATTTGAAACTCAAGAATGACGTAGGCTAAGATCTGTGTTGTTTTATGCACAAAAACACTGATTTTTGTAAAGTTATTTGAAGCCAAGCTAAGATACATCATTCCACTACAGAATAGGAGAAAGACTTGACTATGTTTATCTTGTCAACAAGTAAAGACGAGTTCAACTTTGAGCCTGTCTCATGTAAGTTTTAAAGGTGAGATACTTAAGACTGAAGCGAACATGAGCATTTTATCTAAAGAAATAGACAAGTTCCAGAAAGGATGAGATAAACCGATATACACAAGCAGCTGCAGTTTATCCAGATAGCTTAACGCTGTGCTTCATATCTCCAGTGGATCTGATCTTTGAATTTATCTGGCCTGAACCACTGATCTCCACAGCTGGATGGGAACAGTATATGACACATATCTGCCACGGCTGGATAGTAAAAGCTCCACAAATTATGGTCATGCTCATGATTTTAGCTGGTTGTTTTTCTCTAACTGCAGCCTGTGCTGGCATCTTTTTGGATGAAACTGAATTAGAAAGCCTGAAGGCTTCACTCAGTTTGAGGATACATCACATTACTGTCAGTCAGACTGAACTTTTCTTTCAAGATTTTAGAAAAAAAATTGTTTTAGATTGAAAATGAAATAATCAGTGTGAAAGTGCACAGTGTTGGTTATATGTGATTTTTGATAAACACAGATAGATAGATAGATAGATAGATAGATAGATAGATAGATAGATAGATGTAGTCATTAGACACCCATCAGAGGTCTTTCATTCATCCCATTAATGATTTAAGTTCTATGAATAAGAAAGGTTTACTCCAGGCACACAGAGATAAATATGGTGGTTAAGACTGTGGCTGTCAGTTGACCCACTTCTGTTTTTGCCCTCAAAGGCAAAAATGAGCTAATCTAGCTGTAAATAAAGCAGATTGACTATTCCATCCAGTCTCTCTAACCTCCAGTTTAAAGAACATCTTTTTTATGGGGCTCCTGGTCTGGGTCAGATGACTACTTTAACTGCACCTAATTATGGTTGTTAAACTAAGGAAGAGGAGAAGGCAGGAGTGTAGACAAGGATGTGTCGCTGTGAGAGTGGTTTCCCACTCATGTAGAGACAGATGTTCTCATCATGTTATATCTTATATTTTGGAGTTTTTCACCCTCAGAAGAGCTCATACACTGTCCTCTAAAACACATACATAATCTTAAGCTCAGCTTTAAAGTCCAAATGAGGCCTGCTGTTAGAGCTCCCACTTAATAAAACAGACTTCAAGAGGAAATAGCCTCTGCATTCTTCATGCTCATGTCCTTTGAAAGCTCACTGTAACTTTTCTTGTATTCATACCTCATTTATCCAACATGTATGTGTTCTTTAAGCACAGAGCAGAGGTGATACACACAATTTACACTGTATAGATGAAGCACAGCAAACAGCTGATTGCAGATAGAAACAACCAAAAAACCCAAAGATATGTAACCTTGGTTCAATGTCATGATATGGTCTGAAATTACTAAATGGAAAAGATCAGCAGTTGCCAATACACATCCTTCATCTGACTTATTATGAACAGATTGATTTCCACAGTTGTGCTTTGAATATATACACACAGCTACTTACAATAAATACATTATAACAGTTGATTTACCCTCACAAAACAGTGAAGCATGATGAAGCATTCAAATTATGTCTGGTTGAAGCATTCAAATTCATATTCTGTACATGTTTTTGATCCTGGAGTTACTATTTGAAGTCTGATTTCTCAATTGACTTCCATTTCTCCCGTATCTGCTTGTTACCCAAACACAGAGAAACCTGCATTTAAATTGACATGATGTAAAAAATGCTGATTTGCCGGCATTGTGAAATCCTTACTGATAGTTTTAACCTTGGGTCAAAACAACTTAACTTCATGAAGTGATATGTTGTGAAAGTGACATGTCGTAAAAACAATACTGAAATGTATTAGTGCCTATCACTCACTTATACTTTTGACCATTTATTTAGCCAGCTATTTCAACTATAGCCTTATCACACTCTGACATATAATTTGTTATTTGTGTCAAACTTTATTTCAGCTGTTTTGCCTTCCAAACTTTTTTAACAAACCAATTGCAACAAAACTTTTTGTGAATCCTCCTCATACTTGGCAAAAAACTGCATCCCAGTATTAAAAGTCACCATGTACAACACCAAACTACTTAAACTTTTGATTCATTTTCTTATGGATAAACCTTTAATGTCACTGTTCTAACAATTAATATGTACAGGCTCCTAAAACAGTTTAGCTTACTTTTGGCTAATTTCAACTTTTGTACCAACATGATAATTAGAAATGTTTATTTATCACTACAAGCCAGCTGATATCGTCAAGTATTGTCCATTAGCCCACTCGTAGCTAACAATTTAGATGCATGGCTAGCCTGCTAACAAGGGCTAAAGATAACGATATATATCGAAAATTAATTTCCCTCAATATCAATATAAAACATGGTCAATATGCTTTTCGATAGTCGGCATTCTGCCATGTTTTGATAGACTTTACGAACAGCCAATGAAAGCAGAGTAATGTGCACTGCAAATTATGTCGAGTACATGTTCTCGCAAAGTCGGGGAATGCCTCAAATCTTTTTCACCACCTGAAGCAGCGCCACGCGGCAGAGCACGCACAATGCAAAAGGTTACAAACCCAGAGTGGAGCAGCCGAAACAACCAACCATTAGGTCCTCTTTCTCTAGTGCAACACTTTACGACAAAAGGTTGAAGAGACATTAAGACCTCACAGATGCAGTAGCTTACTGTATTGCAAAAGACATGCTACCAGTAAGCAGTTAAAATTTATTTTTTATATCGTGATATATATTGATATCTACTGATATGAAAAAAACATATCGTGATAAACTTTTTCCCATATCGCCCAGCCCTACTGCTAACTAGACTGTAGGACTGGCACCAAGAAGTAAATTCACTTTAAACTGCCCACACAAAACCCTGCAGAGAATCCCAGCATCTCATACACACTCTCCTTTCCAGAGCTTCACAAATTTGCCTTGAAAAACTCAGAGGCAAATTTTAGGAAGCAAATTCTTGCAAATTCTTTGAAAGCTTTTCTTCATGAGAGCGGTCAAAATGTTACAAATGGGCACCAGATTTAGCTCTTCTGGACGGATTAAATTCAGGGATTATGTGTTTTAGAGGTGATTTTCTATTGTGAGCGCAGTGCAAGAAGGATTTTCCCTTGAGTGTGTGTCTGTGGTTAAGAGGAACCAGCTAGTAGGTGAAAGTGCATTTGAAAAGAAGATCAGTTTAGTCAGTATACATTGTAATACCAATCTATTATGATCAGTCTTATAGTTTTCATGTTTCTGTCTTAGGTCAGAAAGTATATGTATGTATTTGAAGAATATGCCCTCGTAGTGAATGTAAGACGGCATTCATTCAACAGCTGAAAAACCATACAGTTTTCATTTATTTATCGGGCTGGTATATAGAATAACAGATCAATAATCAATCAATTGTTGATTTCTTTTTCAAAGTTACGATAGCACAGTGATACCACATGAAAGTTAGCTGACATACTTTTTCACTGTAATAATCATGTAGCTTCATTTTGATGTTCAATGTAGGTTAGGTTCTTTGAAATTGTAATCATCAGCCCTTATCCTCCGCCTGATATTGGGAGGAGTCACAGAGCTTTAACCAGGCAGTCACTGTAGTTTTTTCCCATGGAGTGCCTTTGCAGGAATTACTTCACTTCCACAGTACTGCCTGACTCATCCTTAATCACTACAGTGTGTGGCTCAGCGATTTAAGTGGTCTGTCTGCGTTGCTTTGGTGATCCATGGTTTGCATCGCTTTAGGAACATCTGTGGTAAAGGGCATTTCTGACAGAGCTTAAATCCCACCCTGCTTTTCTCTGCTGCTCTCTCACATCGTCTTGCCTGTGTCGGCCAGCCAGCCAGCCAGCCAGCCAGCATATCTCGCAGCGTCACAAAATGCAGCACTTGACCCTCACTGCTCTCTAACCAGCGCTCCCTCTGCCCCCTTCCCCCACTCACTGTATCACACACAGCCAGCTATTGTGCTGTTCTGATCTCTGTGTTGCCTGTGGTGTCTGTGAGGAGGTCCTGTGCCTTCTGTGCTTCCTGTGCTTCATGCTCCTGGGAGCTGTACAATGTGTGCAGCTTTTGTTAGACCCATATGTTCATGAGGCCAGGGGTGAGTAGGCTGAGGGCGATCACTAGTATTAGTACAGCATATTAATAGAAAAAAATAGGCGATTATAGGGCTGTCCAATGATATGGAGCATTTCTAACAAGCGACTGAAGTTACTCCAGCAAATAATGAAGAACTTGTTTCATTTATTAAAGCTCCTATGAAGAATTTTGGATGAGTTATGAAACAGTCTGAAATGAACAGTGATTTGTCTTTCTGATGTTCAGAACCAAATGAGCCCATTGACCATGAGACAGACAGTTTCTACATGGTAATTTTTAGCGTCTGCAACTGCCGTGAGAGGAAAGAAGCAGCTTTTGTGACTTTTCTCACGGCAAATATTCATAGCGAGTGATAAATTCCACCGAGTAAAATACAGCAAGAACACAACACTTACATGAGGAAGAAGCAAAATAAGCCGCTGTTACCACTTTGTCCACAGGGGGCGCCAAAATCAACACAGACAGAAAGTTCCTCACAGGAGCATACATTGAATATTGTATGGTTTATCTGACTAACTTTCCAAATGCCAGACAAATTTTCAATAACACATTTTTAAACTGGATTTTTTTGTTTGGACTAATGATCTAGTTGTCATTTAAAAAAATTGCACCTGATGAAATTTCAGCCCTTCAGTGTAGATCAGTGAATTATACATCTGCATCAATCCAAAGATGCTGCAAACTATAATTCTCAGCACAGAAATCTCTGATAGTTATTTGGAGGTAGCTGAGTAGGAGTTACTCCTTGTTCAAACATGATGTCGCACCAAAGCCCCCCAAATAAAATTCAAGTTAAAGTACAAAAATTAAGCTGTGCAAGTATTTCCCATTCCCTCCATAATGTCACATACTTTGTTTTGTTTTGTTTGACTGCAGGGTGATGCCCAGACTCGTTGCATCTGTAACACTGAGGATTTAATCACTGGCAATGAAAGAGGGAAAAGGTAAGATATTCTTTTGTAATATTTTGATGCATTTTAAAATCTATGCATACATTTTCAATGCTAAGTGTTCATTATGACAGATATTAGGGGGAAATCTGTGCTAAAGGGGATAACTGACTTCAAAGATATCAAACTTGATTAGCTGCATCAGCACTACAGCATGTTAGTCTCTCTCTTTCAATGTTCATTGATATTTTTCAGCTGGAGTAGTATCAGAAAGCAGTCAGCAAATCACAGTTTTTGTTCTTTAAAGGGCCAGGAGACATTAAGGTTGTATTCCTATTCCGACTGACACAGAAAGTCATCCTTACAATGTGATTAAACTTTGAAGCAAAGCACACTTACATCCTTCAATTACGGGAAATGTTTTTAGTCAATAACTGACCAAATATCGGATCATCATCATTGTTTAGAGTAAATACTGAAGCACTATAAGGAAGAGAGAAAAACAGGTTAATCTTGCTTGTTTTATAAGAGAGACAGATACAATTCAAAATGGTCATCTCCACATTCTTTAGTGTTTTCATCATATCCTAAACATTAGCTTAGGAAACAAACACAGCCCAGCCTCATATCCTGCTCAGGATGAAGCATACTCTATTATCACACGACCAAGAAAGTACACCCTGATACAACAGGAAGCAGAATCAAATCGTGTTTCATGTTGACAGGAAGGAGTCGAGTGTCTCCATATATATTGAAGTGAAACCCACTGAAAGTCCCTATGGTGGTGTTAATCGATCATGTGGTTTCCACTCTCAGGCGAGCTTCAAGTTTTGGATGTGCATGATTTAAAAGTAGATTCACAGCAGTGTAACATTACTGTTGTTGAGATGCAGCAAGTATAAGCGTACATACACGTCTCAAAATAGATTTTCAGCTGTGCAGCCCTGCAGTTTGCAGTTGAATTTAGGTGACCTGTGAGTTCTAAAACTGTGCCATGCAGGGCCAGTTCAGCCGTGTAGTTGCACACAGGCTTCTGGCCTCAGTAGATAATCACTCTTGCAGTTTGTGGCTAAATTGTGTACCACATGAAATTGTATGTGTGTGGCCATAAATGCCTTTTGATCTGACCTAAGCTGTTATCATGCCATCTGAAGACAGTGAAACCATGAAAACAGGATGTGATGTGTGTTCCTCATTTCAGATCCACTTAATCTAATCAGCTTTCATCTTGTGCCTCTGCCTTTCTTTTCCTCTCTCTTTTTCTCAACGTGTGTGTCTCTTTCTCCTTCTCCTCTGTATGCTCTCTTGTGTCTCTGTTCTGCCTCATTGCATAGATCTGTTTCACTGCCACTCCCTTTATCTCCTACCAAATCGGAGCCTTGTATAGCCAACATAGCTGGTTTGTTTGTGTATGTAGGTGTTCACCTCAGACTTCATTAAGTGCTGCTTACATGTTTCAGAGGTTATTCAATCCACCCTCTCAGAGAAGTCAGCTGCTGTGTATACTCTGAATAATTATCAAGTAGCTCCTAATAGTTAATTCAATCTGTTTCCTCCCGGGACAACTCACCAGGATAACCTCATGCACTACGTAGACATGAGAGGACCAAGGAGCACCTGAAGATGTCCCAGAAGACAACCAAAAGTAAGCTCAATGGCTGTGAGTCAATGAGGACATCTTTGTATTTTCTATCAAATGTTGTAGACTCTTTGGTCAGATTCGTTGCTGACATAGAGCAGATTATTCGAGTGGGACTATCTCTCAGCTGAAATCCAGTGAGGTTGCTAAGCTGATCTGTGTGTTATTTCACGTGCCATGATGATGAGAGGATTATTGCCAAAATGCTCTTTGTCACAGATTCATGATCAGAGCTATACCATTACACTCTGATTTCTTTTTTTCCCCTGGGTTACTTATGCCTGTACCTGTGTATTTGGTCATTGTTTGAGAAAACCTTGAACCATCTCTACAGAACAAGACTGCACACTGGGTGACACAATCATAACCACCCTTACGACAGTCACACAAGTCTGCCTAACCCTCAGTGGTATCTGCGATAAATCTTCAAAGGAGAGACTGAAGCTGTATGGAAGCTTTTTAAACTTTTGTTCATTGATTTAAAAAGAGGCCCTGGCTTTTGTACCGAGGACAAAGACCATTGGCAGTGTCCTTTTTACATCTCAGATCTACGGTGGCAGCTGCATTGAAAGTTTCTGTATTTTTCTTTTGCCATTGAGTGCTTGAAATGGGGCCTCATACTGAGTGTCAGTCTCAGTTACAGTAGATTTTTTGTCTTTCTTTTAGAATAATTAAATTTTTCAGTCTCTCATGGCTGTGAAACTACAAGACAAATGGTTCCTGGAAGTCAGTGTGCCATGACAAGAAAGATTTCCACCCACAACTTCCCGTAACTCTGCAACGTGTTGTTGATACTCCATGGTTAGATTAAACAAGGAGGATACAGGGCTTTAATTTTGTTGTAAGGACCACGTTATTAGTTTCTAGCCTTTGTGCTGAGCCAACTAAACCAGCTGGCTCAAGCTTCATAACATCTTAAAAGATATGAGAATAGGAAAGAAAAAAACAAAAAACAAAACACTTTTGTTTTATTGTCTTTGTCTTTGGTATAGGGTATTTGTTGTTGTTGTTATCAATATTTTTTGGGTGATTTCAGTCTTTTTATTGCGGGGAGATAGAGAGAGAAGTGGGAGGACATGCAGCACATGGTCAGGGCCGGATTCGAACCCGCGACTACTGCGGGGACTCCCCATGGGGTACGCTAACCTGCTCGGCCAACTGTGCGATCTTCGGTATAGGGGATTTTGTTCATTTTCTGATTTTCTCAAAAGCTTTTGAGCATTGATAATTAGGATTCAGAAAGTATCAGGAAGGGTCCAGAGCAATTTATTTACTTGTGTTTAAATAAAGAATTAAATTCTGACTACTTAATAGTCTTAGGTTAAGAAAACACTGGTAGGGGTAGATCAGTTATTGACCTTACCCAAGGGCTGATATTTAGCATTTGGACAGTTATCTGTAACAGCCATTTATTTTAGAGATGACTGTTAAAATTAAGTAATTAAAAAGTGTGCTACTTTGTCTCACCGAACACTCTCTGGTTGGCTAAGTGTAACCAGCTAACTGGTAACTCTGGTATATGACATTAAACATTTCAGTTTTAACTAAAAATTTGCGATAGACATCAAGCAAAGTTTTTGTGATATATAGATAGACTATAAATCATGATGGAAAAGATTTAGATTTTTACTGTCAACTATCGATTCCAAATGTTCATTATTGATCTCATAATCATGTAATGTGAGTTATTGAGTCAGGTAATTGGTTAGGCTGTAAACATGATGGAACATGGCTAAACCCAGGATTACAGAGTCTGCAGGTAGTTTGATGTGATGCACTCTTTAACACAGCCTTCGTACAATTTTAACTCCATTTTCAAGATCAGAGTACTGCTAAATCGTGATGGTTTGAGAGACCATCTGTCATCTTTGCTTGTTTGCAACTTGGTAGTCAGGCATTATAGAATAATGGCTTTTGACATAACGAAAACTGCAGCCCTTGCTGGTGACAGGAGTTCATACGGCAGATAAGATGTGATGTATGATAATCATTTTGGCCCTATAATAATAGAAATGTAAGACACTTGTTTAATTGACTGGTAATTCTGGTTCTGCCTGTTGAAAGTGACCATGTTGAATTATTTTTACTCCACACACCCATTTGACAAACACCCATTCTTACCATCATTACACACCCATCCTTACTGTTCATGTTACTAAAAACAGTTTTCCTCTACACCTCTAACTGTGGAAGAAATTGTGGTTTATAGGGCCGAGAAGATAATTAATCTCTGGATCTGATTTAATATGCAGTTATGAACACCCTTTACAACTGTTCCAAACCATTTTTACTTATTTCCGCCCATTGGGTTAAAATTGTGTAACACTCACAGCACTTTTGATACCAATACATGTCAACTCTAAGATAGGTTAAAGCATTTTTCAATTTTTACTTGTGTTTTTTTTTATTTGTGTGTTTTTATTCATCTAATGTTTGAATATGTTTTGATTCAGAGGATCAGTCTGTGGCTGTCTCTCTAATAGATACTGTAAAGGGTGGAGTGTTTCCTGTGGTGTGTGAAACTGTCTCTTAATAGCAGTTAGTGGCTGTTCTCACACTTAAAGTATTTTTCTCACTTTTATGTTTCAGTACATAGTTTGGTATTGACACTACACCTGCGTTGACCCTTTACCCAATCAGTGCTGCTACTTTTACTGAAAACACACGTGTTGAATTCTGTAGTCTTGCAGTAATCTCTTGACATGACATAAAACTTGAACTCTGACTTATGGGTCTGTAAATGTTGAAGCTAGCGTGTTGTCTGTGAACTGTAATAATCCTGTCTTTTAAAACTATTGTTTCTCTGCCTCTGTTTTTGTCTCCTCTGACTCCAGCATGGTGCCTTAGGCTTATCCCAGTTCTCCTGTTCTTCATCTCTTTTATCACATACTACTGTTCCTATGCTATACTTCAGAGGTACTTGCACACACACACACACACACACTAACACAACCATTTTTTTTTTGGTTCTTGCTTGTTTCGGTATTAAGGTCACACAATTACAGACATGCCCATTTCTGGTAAGAGAAAAAGAGTTAGCTCATGAGGTCTGCGCAGTGCTGAGTCACTAAAAGTAACGGAAGAAAACCCACAATCTCATCATCTGAGTTACTGGCCAAATTAATGCCTTACATTTGCTCATTCTTGCATTTTCTGTGTGTTTGGGCCTCAGTTACCGGTACATTGTGTTTTTATGGGCTCAGCAGTGGTGACATGCCAGTTGTGGTTATTGTCTGTCTTTCAGTTACGGAGGCACCAGCAAGTCTCCTAACAGTAGCAAGTCGTTGTGTGGTGGCTGGCTAACGCAGAGGAAGTGGGAGAGCCTTAGCTTCAAGTGAGTAATGACACGTCTGTGTTTTCTTTTCTTCTTGTTTTTTAATTTCTCAAACTAGAGGGAGTGGATTGCTTATTAAAGGAGAACAGTTTGCCAACATTTTTATTTGAACTTAAGGTGCCAGAGTTCTTGAAATTGGCAGAACGGCTCTTCACCAGTCATTGAGGAGAGGCGAATTCTGTGAGAGAGATCAGGATTTAATATAAGAAAGCAATTTTCCAACTAAATCATGAGTCCTGTAAGTTTCAGTCACTCAAATGGAATGTGTCGATGAAGTGGATGAGAGGGAGAGTTTCTGTTGACTGAGAAGTTGGCTTGATAAGGTTCCTTCTTCTAAGAGCCGGACAAAAGCTTGTTTGTCCTGCTCAGGTTCTGCATGTTAAGTAATCTCTGTTCCACAGCCTTGAGCCCCCTCTGATTTATTTACACAGCTCCATTATCAGTTTATTCAGCTGCATATTTACTGTTTGTCTTTTTGTGTCCTCTGTTCTGTTACAAAATAGTGATATGGTCTCCACATGTGTGTTGCCCAACATGCCTTCAATTTCACTGTTTATTTCCTCAGCTCAGTGGACCTTCCACTCCTCGCCCTTTGACCTTTCCAACACACAAAGTTCACATTTGCTGTGTGTACCGAAACACATGAACTGCATTCTAAGATACTGTTGCCACTGGTCGTGCTTGTACTTATGCATCACTCACCAGTCACATGGAGGCCTTCCAGGCAATCTTTGTGACATTTCTCTAATTAGTTCCCTCCCTGGAGATTTATCATGATCTCCTGCGGACAGTGAGTTGGCACACAAGGGTAATAAATGTCTCCGCGATTCACTGTCAAAGACAGTGGCTCATAAACAGCTAAAGTCTGCAGCCAGTGAACACAGAAAAGCAATAGTTTCACTTATTACAACCAACCGTATTTGTCTCTCTCCACAAGCTCTGTGAATGTTATTGTTTTCTTTTCCCTCCCCTGAGCACAGAAATGCCAACAGAGAGTTTTAATGGGGAAATTACTCCAGAATGACATCATGTAAATGGACAGCATGCTTATACGGGGTCTGGTGTACCTGCTTAATAGATACCAGAACATTGGAGAAAGTGCAAATAAAGCTTTTCCATATGCCAATATGAACACTGTACTGTTTGGCAGCACAGCTGGTATTGTTCATTGTGCGGTTTTATCGTTCTTACAGCCAAAACATTTTAAGTGTTTTTTTCCCCCCCTTAATGCCGAAACACCTCATTCATATCCTCCCTGCACTTGAAGCCACAAATCCTGGTGTAATATGATTCATCTCTGAAATGAAATTGTGCATTGTTTGTAATTCCTGCTCTGACGTTTTTATGCAGCATTAGCAGACAGACAAAGCTCTTTCTGACACTGGAGGATTTCTTCTGGCGGGAGCATCTGTCTAAGCTGGCATTACCTTATGGCGTTAAGGGCAGTGGTATGTTGATTCTTTTACATGATCCTCCACCTTTTTTTTAAGCTCATGCTTGATCCCTCTATTGTTGGTTGTTCTGTGAGAGTGCCTGGTTTTTGCTCTTTTTTATGTATTCACACATTTTACAGGGGGAATGTCTGCAAAACTAAATCTCTTCTTTCAGTTTTGTATGAATGGAACTTTTGTATTTAAAGCTTTTCTTTTTTTTTCTGTCTCCTCAGAGCTGCTGCTATTGAAAGTTCTTGCTGTAACTGCAAATTATCAAGTGCCAACCAACATCGAAAAGTAAGAGTAAGCACTCTGGAGCCGGTCTGGTTTGAGTGTTAGAGTCTTATTCCATTAAACCCAGGATGTTGCTTGCAACATACAATGAATACAGGATTTAAAAATGTAATAATCAGCTCTAACACAGTGGCACATATCCTGTTAAATAACTTCATGACCTCACAACTGTGATTTTAAATATCTATTGTACACTCAGGACTCCTGGGAAGGGTGCTTGATCATAAATTGACCACATTGTAACGGCCTCTGTGTTTGCGTGTGTCTGTATGTATATATTCTTTTTTTCCCCCAGACTTGAATGCAGAACTTGTGTAGTCATAGGCAATGGCTATGCTATTAAAAATAGCTCCCTGGGAAGCATCATCAACAAATACGACGTGGTTATTAGGTGAGCAGAACACACAATGCCCTACAAGAGTCCATGAGTTTTATGTTTCTTTCTTTTATTTTGTTTTGACAAAATAGAAAGGATATGAAGGATTTTAAACCTGCTTTGCTGCTGTTTAATCTTGTTTAGGTTCTTTATTGCACAACCTCAAATGTGACCCATCAGAAGTATCAGTAACACTTTACTTGACACCTATCTCTATAACGCATTATAAATATATTTATAATGGGTTATAATCATGTTATATCACTGTATAAATATTGTTATAAACACGCATAAATGATCTTAATGCTTTATAACAATAATCATAACACATTACAGCGCATTTTATCATGACTTACAAGGTCAGGTGTTATAATGTGTTATGCTTATTGTTATAAAGCCTTATGTTAATTAATGAGTGTTTATAATGATAGTTATTCAAGTTTATAAGCAAATTATAACACATCATAAATATATGTATAATGCATTATCTATGTTAGCGTTGTCAGTGAGTTGTTTACAGTCATAACACATTATAATACCTGACCTTGTAAGTCATGATAAGATGCTTTATAATGTATATGATTATTGCTATAAAGCATTATGATCATTTATTAGTGTTTATTACTATAGTTATACAGTGATATAACATGATTATAACCCATTTTACATATCTTTATAATGCGTTACAGAGATAGGCATCAAGTAAAGTGTTACCGAAGTATCAGTAAGTTCAACCTAAAGACTTTCTCCAAACAAATATCCGTTTTTGGGCTTAAAGGAATGCCTAATTGTCATAAAAAGATCATTTAATGACATATAAAAAGCTGAATCTAAGTATCAGGATTGGAATCTGAAGTTGACTTGAATGCTGTCTAATGATGGACAGAAGCTGACTGTGTAACCCTCTGACCCTGACATGGAGCAGTAGTCAAAGTAATTAGCAAGCTTTTGGGTCAAGTGAAGTTCCTTAAAATGAAAAAAGAAAGGAGTTAGTTTATTCAGGGACAAAGGCATTCTGCAAATCTGACTTTACAGCCTTGGAATGAACCCATGCATTCTGAGTTTTTATAAGCCTCTTTCGAACAGCCAGAATTTGGCCGGGCCACAATGCATTTTTCTCCCCCTGTCAACTTCTCCCTCACTCCCTCCCTCCTTCCCTCCTTCTCCTCTCTGAAGCTTATCGTCCACTGGCCAAGTAAAGGAAGGCTATTGACATTCAGAATAACAATGCATGCCTCAGACTTCGACCTGATCAGGCTGGTTCTGTTGTTGAATTTTGTCTAGACTGTGTTACAGCATGTCTGGACAAAAGTTATAAAAGTGCACACTAATCATTTCAACAAAACCAGGTCTCATTTGTTGCATTGTTGAGTTTTAATTAAAAAAATACTTGTGTCAATTGAGAATGTCTTGTATCTGAAATATGTCCAAAGTCGTAGAGCAAGGACGTTTTTGTGTCAATATCAGTTTTATCACTTTGTAGTTTAAGACATTTTTGTTATTAGAGTGGCTCTGGGTAATGACAGGTGGGATGTGGAGACAAAGGAAGCAGTTAAAGAGCAATAAAAGCTTGACAGCTGATTTTAAAGACAGTCCTTCAGCCACCTTGACACCATTAGATTGGATTAGATTGGATTTTGGGAAGGTTCCCTCAAGGAAATTAAAATTCCAGCAACAGCATTATGAACAGAAAAAAAGAATAAAGGTATAATGAAACTTCAGATAAATTAAGTATTACATATAAAAAATAAGATCTAAAGTTATGGACTTATGCACATTTCTATTACTACTACTATGCCTACTACTACTGCTGCTGCTTCTCCTTCCCATCCTTGCCCTCCTGTTACCCCTCTTCCTCTCCAGAGAGGAGTTGTACTGAGAGGAGTTGTACAGTCTGATGGCATGAGGGACAAAGGAGTTTTTCAGTCTGTTAGTCCTGACCTTGGGAAGGAGCAGTCTGTCACTGAACAGGCTCCCCAGGTTAATGATGATGGAGGGGTGCAGAGGGTGACTGGCATCGTCCACATTGTCCGGTAGTTTGTCGATTGTCCTCATCTCTGCTATTGTCACCAGACAGTCCAGCTTCATGCTAACCACAGAGCCGGCTTGTCGTATTAGTTTTTGGATGTGTCCTTCTTGGATGTGCCCTCCACCAAGCACACCATGGTGTAAAAAAGACACTGGCAACCTCAGACTGATAAAACATCCACAGGACTTTTCTGCAGATGTTAAAAAGCCACAGCCTCCTCAGGAAGTACAGCTTGCTCTGTCCTTTCCTGTACAGGTGGCCTGTGTTTAATGTCCAGTCCGGCCACTGTCCAAGGTACTTGTATGAATCTACAGCCTCCTCGACTACTTCGATCAGAACTGGTATTGACCCTGGTCTTGACCTCCCAAAGTCAATGACCAGCTACTTGGTCCTCGGGGTGTTGAGGTGCAGATGGTTCCTGTGGCATCAGACAGCAAAATCCCTCACTCTGCCCCTGGTCTCCTCCTCCTCTCTGTCATCCCTAACACACCCAACGATGGCTGTTATAGCATTAAGATCTGAAATCCAACTGTGCAAAGTTACTTATTCTTATTTATTATAATCTTTAATATTATTATTATTCATTATTATTATTCATTATTGGGCTCTCAAATGTAATCTGTGACTTGTACTTATTTTTCTGTGGGTTACTTGGTTGAGAAATTGTCAATGCTGACCATTTTATTTAACTAATGTGAGAAATTAAACAAAAATTTAGTGAAGAAAAAATAGTGTTTAGGAATGAAACAAAATTATTTTTTTAAATCAAGATACAGCTGAAAAGATAGTCTTACTGTAGATAAACAGCTTGCTCGTTGGCTTATTAAATAGTAGGGCTGTGTTGAAGTCTCTTTTGCAGAAACAGCCCTCTAACCGGTTATCCAATCAATCCTCAATTGAATATGTAAAAGGAAATTCCGATGAATAAAAAATAAACAAGCCATGCTCTCTCTTGTGTGTCCTTTAACTGCAAAATTGCTAACACAAAAGAGCTATTGTGAGCTATAACTCTTCTGCGATGTTTTATTCAGGCTGTCGCACCTATTCTATGACGTAAGTCCTGAATGCAATGTAAGGAAGACGACTCAAGCTAAATATTGAACTCATAATGCTCAACAACATTTCGAAGGTCATGACTAGTTGACTTTGTGACTTATAGAACTTAAAAGTTGTCTCTATCTTTGTTATCCTGTCTCTGTCTCAGGTTGAATGATGCCCCAGTGAGAGGCTATGAGGACGATGTTGGGAACAAAACCACCATGAGGTTCTTCTACCCCGAGTCAGCCTCTTACAACCCTGGACTGCACAACGAGCCCAGCACACTCATGGTCCTGGTGCCTTTTAAGCAGCAAGACCTACGGTGGCTCAAAGAGATCCTATATAATGAGAAGAGGGTACAGGATATGTGTGAGAATGCGCTCTCTCACACAAATTCACACACATGCTTTGCAATCCTCTCTTTTGTTTCCCTCTCTGAGGCGTACATAAGCACTCCTTGACTTTTTTTCTTGACCTTGTCTGCCATCACTTGTTGGAAAAAAGAACTTGAAAGGTTCTACTTCAGTGATGCTAGTGCCCTTTGCATTTAAATGTAGTTTCCATTGGGGGGATCTCAGCACCTCCAGCCTCTCTGCTAATAGTTGCAAGGTCATTACCCGCTAATTTCCACATTGATTTGGTTGCCTCAGGACGTGAGGGAGTCATAGGCTCAATTGCATCTCTGTTTGAGTAAATGAACTCGGTGTACTAACCAGGACTGGCAATCTTTCACTCTGCTTTCTGCCCTTCTGTGCTCTTCAGTTTCACAACATCCTGTGTTTTATCTGTCCATGTTTATGTGTGTGCATTCCAGGTTAGGAAAGGCTTTTGGAAGCCTCCTCCTCAAATCTGGTTGGGTGACGTCAGTAAAATCAGAGTGCTGGATCCCCACTTTCTGCACCAGACTGCAGACAGACTGCTCCGGATACCCCTCTACCCTAAGAGTAGACAGGTGAGATATCAGCTTCATTTAAATGGTTTGAAAATCACGGTGCAGAATTCCCAATATCAAAACCAGAGTTTTCTTTAGGTCTATAGAAGTCCATTCCCCCCAAGAATTTAACTCAATTAGTTTTTGTGGCTTCATCACATTGGCAGTGATGCCTCTCCTCTCTCGCTGCTGATTACTTTTGTCCATTTGAAGTATCTCTCCTCTCTGGTTTGTTCCTTTTCTCTCATGGCCCCTTTTACACTTCCTTTACCCTTCACTGCTCTCCACATGAATGTTAACAAGGCTGGACGGAGGAGCATCCACTGATTAGCTACAGCTCCTCCAGTGATACATCATGAGAGCTGTTATAAACTGTTTACTCAAAGAGGCATATCTCTTGAAATGCAGCCGGGTCAATAGCAATTTTGTGGATCCAATTACTGAAAAACATGATGAAGATTAGCTTCTGCTGGACGTTCTGGCATCTAATTACAAGATAAGCTTCTCATGTCTACTACTAGGCTGCACAGTAACTCACTGGGAAATAATTGACTTATGAAGGAAAGCCAAAATATTGTGTAAATTTCAACCAGATGCTGCATTTTCAGGAATCTTTAACCTCCTTCTGTTTCTTCTCTGCAAATATGTCTTATGTTATTTTCTCTATGTGACAGTTCATCGTTTTTTTAATGGTTTTAGAGTTTAGCTGATCTACATCATGCATTATCATTGACTAAACAAATACTGAGGTAAAGATGAAAGCAAAATAGAAAGAAAAAATAATTGATCAAGTAGAAAAATCATTTGCTGAGCCCAACAACAAGCTAACTCAAGAGATTATGGTCCAAGAGGAGGGATTGTGCAATGAAAGAATGACGCATTACACTTTTTGTAAGTACACTGATCTGTTTTTGTTTCACAAACTTGGCTTCAGCTGCTTTCTGACTAAGTTGATTCGATTTGTAAACCTCAAGCTATTGAAATCATACTATTACTTATCCGGAGTGAAGCTCAAACCGGACCAAGTAGGGCTTGTCGTGTGATTGGTGGGGTTTGTCTCTGACGTGGTCCGAGCCAAGTTTTGTTTAGTTTCTGCTCGTTCCCCCTCTCCTGAGCCCTTTTTGTTCAAGAGTCAGTGGGGAGGAGGGAGGGGGTGTCACCCTTTTGGACTGCAATCCAAACACAACTGGCTGGTGCATGAGAAGAGTTAGCAGTGGGAAGACAGTGATCCTACAGGCTATCAGCAGGCTCACCCATCAGGAGCTCTGCACCATCTGCTTAGACAGTATGGAGAGGGTGCAAGGAGGAGGATTGTGGGTAGAAGGAGAAAGATGATGAAGATGTAGTGATAGGGAGGAACAGACAGTTACATACTCACCCGTTTGGTCTTTAAACAGAGTTGAAATATCAGTGATGTTACTTCGTTCTTCGTCGGACGTTAGTTTGAGTCTTCTCTTTTTTTCCAAGGTCGGGTATTTCCTCATCCAATCAGCGAGGGGTCCTGAATTGCGAATCTGGACCTCCTCTTTGCAGGCACACCACCCCCCCCTTAGATAATGATCCTGCCAGATAGACCAGGACCCCCTTAAAACACACACGCACACACAGACTCACGCAGACAAAGGCACAAACTCGGATTCCCACACATGCAACCACTTTCCTCTTCTCCCCTGTTTTCTTCCTTTCTTTTATGGATTGGACACACACATAACTCATATGTTCACACCCATCTCCCCTGAGTTAAGTTCCTGCAGGTCTGGCTTGCAGGAATGACAGTATGCAGCCCCCTTGCTGCCCTTGCTCACCAAGGCTCCATGGGCTTGTGTCCAAAGTATGCGCAGGGCCGCTGCAGAGCTCTGGTGTTCACCAGTGAGCTGGCGACCACATGAGGCGAATACACACAAAATGTCAGCTGTGTCCCATTGAGGAGTGCTCATTAGGTTTTAGATTATAGAAAAAGAAGAGTGCAACAGGAACCTGATCTGGTGCATTTTTGTAGAAGGAGAATGCAGGACATGAGGTTAGTTTTGAGTTTTTAATCATGCAGATCAATTGGATTGTATTCTGTGCCACTGTGGTTGAATTTACATTAAAGACAGGCAGTTTTTTTTTTTTTTTTTTACAATTAACCATGTATACAGTAGGGCCGGACTAAACACAAAACAGACTTTAATTTAGTCGTGCTTGTCTAAAAATACGCCTAAAACTAAACACAGTTTTGATGAGCAAGGGTTAAAGAAGCAGTTCAGCATTTTGGTTTATTTATCCTCGCTGGCCTTAATGCATCGTAGCTTTAAGAAAATACCCCCCCAGCTGTCTGAATGTTAAAAACATAACACCAACCAGGAGTCCTATAGCGAAGTTTAGCATGAGACTTGTGGAAAAATGCAAGCTTAGCTCTGCTCAAAGATGACATTATCTGCCCACTAACTGTAGCTTTAAGGCCGTGAAACTACCAAAGGGAGACTTGGGGAAGTCACTGTCTTCTGCCAAGAAATAGATCTTTCCATAACACCCAGTGAAACCACAACGTGTGTTTCTGTGAAACTCTGACATTTTGAGGGGCAATAGGTGTTTTCCTGTTTATTTTAATTTCTCATCTCTATGCTTAGCTAAGCAAATGGGCTGCTGTGGTAATGGTATTAATGGGTAATGTCTAAAATAAAAACAAGATTGCACTAAGATGTTAACTACTTGCAGGAATGGTTTATTCTGAGTCAGACGTTCTGGTAAAAATCAATATTTTTGGCAAAGAGTTACTTTCACAGCTAGTGGAAAAGCTGTAAGTTAGACTCAGTGTGCAAAAGATTTGTCCTTGCAGACAGAGAAGATTCTCTCCAGGGAAAAGATGATAACATGGATGGTGGTTCAGGAAAGAGCCGTGAAAAGGCTGCTTAGTGAGAGTGCAGCACTTCGGAGGGACAGAAATAAAGGGCTTCTTCTATCTAGTGGTCATGTGGAAGTGATTCTTCTTGCCCCTGTGGACATGGAAAATCATTGACAGCGTCATATGGGAAATGGCAAACAACACAGGCAATTATCTGTGCACTGGAAGACCCTGCCAGAGAGAGCACAACAAACATGTCTCCTCTCATTAAATCTCACATCAGATTTATTTCTCAAGTGGTGCCAGCGGGGTCAGATGATATCCCTTTATATTTTTGTTTCAAGCAAAAGCAGATCAAAAATGACACGCAAGAAAGAAAGACAAATAATAAGTAAACACTGTAACTAAGTCTTTTAGCACTATTTTGTCATCACAAAGACTGCTTTTGTGTTGAGTCACACAGGATATTGACATTTCTCTCAATGATAATAATGGCAGCAGGTGTGCAACAAAGCTCTCTAGCTGAAATGCTCTGGGTCATGAGTGCGCCGCCTGTTTTTTGTTTGTCAGTGGGTTCATAAAATCATCTTTTTCCTTTGACAGCTTTCTCCATATCACCAACACTAACTGACATTTAGAAAATAGCAGTCATGTCACCAAATCAAAACGCACCATAAATGTTGAAATGTTCATGTTTTAACAACTTTATCATGACCCATGCCACAGCTTTTATTTGTCACTTCTTAGCTCTTGTTTTTTTTTTATTGAGCAAATAAATACAGCCTCCAGGAGCTTTTCACAATGACTCAGAGTCAGTTTAATGCAAGTGTAGAGACCATGAACTGGCAGGAGCAGAACTGTGATCACAAGATACAAACATATTAAAACAGTGACGAATGCATGACTGCTTTCAATCGGCCCACAGACGGATTTCGTCAGAGTGATATTTGATTCTTAGTTGATTTAGTTTTAGCATTCTTTCTGCAGCTAATTGTGACTTAGACTGTAAAACATTTTTAGATTTTAACCCATAAAATGCCAGTTTGTATTACTAAGGAGTCAGATATTTGTTGTTGAAAAAAAAACAAATTGTTGCATCGACGTAAATGTCAGGAGGAATTCAATGAGCACAGTTGGGGAAATGACAAGAGCAGTGATATTAGTTGAATAAAAGAAGCTCTTGCACCTGAAATCACAGAATACGTTTCTTTAAAAATACCAAGATTTCCAGCACCACCAAGGAAGAATGTAGATTGTGATAAATTAAGTTATGTTATGGTATGGTATGATATATAATGCTTTTGTGCTGTTTGGAAAAATGTTATGTACCCTGTGGTGGAAGCATGAAACTTAATAAAATAAAAAAATACAAAGAAAAAAAAAAAAAAAAAATAGAAAAAAAAATACAAGATTTATTATGGATAGATACATTTTTTTACTTGGAAATCGTAAACGTAATATATTATGGTTTTATATAATATATATTATAATATTTTTTCATCTTAAATTTAATTCATCATATAGGTTTTTTTTTTTTTGTAATTTTAATATATTAAACCCTATAAAGTAGCTTAAAGAATCATATTTTCTTCTTTTTTCTTTTTGTTTTTTTTTGTCACTGCCTGTCAGAGTCAGGAGTGGATAAGTTGTGCTTGCTGTTGTCCTTGAATGCAACAGCTTTTTTTCCTCAGGCTCCATGTTTGAAAATGAACCCTGACTGCACAACAATACCCATCACTAGCATATGGGCACAGAGAGTACCATCGATGATACAAACCCCTCAAAAGCACACAACTACACACTGATTCTTAACTAACATCTTTGTCTTCCTGTATCACATACTGTAACTCCTATGACAGAAATTTACTGCATCTGAGAGCTGCAAGAGCGTATTAACAGCATTTGTGCATGTATTGTATGCATGGTTGGTGATTGTAACCCTTCATTTGTGTGTAAAAGAAATAGAAAGTCTGGCAAAACAAGCGGACAATTGCGACCTGTGGAAGTATCTCACAAAATATATTTGCAAGTTGAAAAGAAATACATGTATGTGTGTAAATGCACATACACCCATATCACTCATTTTACATTAATATCAGCATGTTCAGTCCATGTGAGTTGCATATTATTGCTGCATTGGCCTTCAAAAGACTCATCAACGCCCCATAGTGGTAACAACATAAATCATATGAATTAACTGTAAGAAACAGTTTATCAAATGGTGTAGTCTATTATTTTTGTGAAAAAAAAACAAAAACAAATTTGAGGCCTTTTCTTTGTATAATGACAGAGTGAATGGTTTCATGTTGTCATGGCATTAGGCTGAAAAGTTAGAGTTATAGTTGGGACTTTTTTTGTCATATTGGGTGTCACTTTTTAGATTTCAGAGGGTACTACTGTTGGCATATTAGAGCAGATAAAGTTCAAATGTTAGGATTAATAATGCCATAGTGATCAAAACTGGAAAAGTAACTGTAAATTAAAAATTTAAATGATCCAATAAAGTCCCAGGTGAAGCATAAATGTTGCTTTGTGCTCCATCTCCAAACAAAACTGTGTAATTGAACATGTTAAATCCGTGCAAAGTTGGCCAAATTTTCCAAGTTTTGAAATCTCCAAAGAAACATATCCTTAAGTACTGTACTTCTGATCAGAAATACCACGAGGGAAATCAGCCTTTAGTTGTTCTTAGTAACTTGCTTCTAAAGTGCACATCTTTGGAGTAGGTAGTAAAAAACTTGTGACTAAGCTGCTGGAAAGCACTCAGTTTGCAGGGTGAGGCTTGCTGATGTTGCTAAACTTCCTGTCAAACAACAAAGTCCTTTTAGTATCTCATCAACATGTTCTGCTTTGCAAGAGGCCTATGAACTATTGGGTGTTTACATTGAGTGTTATTAATTTAGCAGATTCTGTTTCTTAAGAGACTTAAGCGAGTGAAAACAAGCTCTGAAGAAAGAAAAGCTTACCAGAGACTGTTAGGATGTCGTAAGCTTTAGGAGTTGCACAACAGTCTGCACTGAGGTTATTAAATGGTATCCTGCACATGGAAAGGACTTGTGTTTATAAACCTCATGTAATGGATAGCAGCAACAACTTCTGCTGCCCTCTACCACCATCTAGTGTTGAAACAAGATCTTTTTAATATGCAAAATATCTAGTACAGCATTTTGCTACTTTACATGAAGGCTCACTCAGTCTGCTGCCTAGGTGCATATAGATTACACTCATCAGTTTCAGTATGGTGTTTCTTTTTTTTTGGGGGATTCAGGTTTTTAAATGATGGTGAAATTTTGGACATGTTTTGTTTGTCATTTCAGAGTGTTTTGTTATTTCTGTACTTGCTACCTTGCAAGTTACTCAATTGAGAGTGAGAGTTTCAAATCAACCACCCATAGCGGCTTTGAAAAGACATCAAATGTCATTGCGGTTGACAACTGCTAAGTTCTGCTTCTTCTTTGCAGCCGGTGCATCCTACCACGGGTATCCTTGCTGTGTTTGTTGCTCTCAACTACTGTGATGTGGTCCATATTGCTGGTTTTGGATACCCTAGCTCCAGAAGCCAAATGCAGCCTATCCATTACTATGGATATGACACCATGAAGTCTATGAAGGTGGGTATCAGACTTTTTAGGCACCACAAATATTGTACAAATATTGTACATGCTGGAAAAGCATTTCATACTCTGGCCGTGAACCATCCCCCTTCCTGTCTCTGCAGAATTCCTACCATGACCTCAATCACGAAGCTGAAGCCTTAAAAATTCTGGAGGATTCAGGAGCTATTTTGTATCTACACCCTCACTTATGATACACACCCTTGATCAGCTGGTTTAACCGGAAGAAAAAAAAAATAGTAAGACACCAAATCCTGTTTCACTTCTGTTTTGGGTCAGTTTGATGTGGAGCAAAGCTTAATGTGCCTTCTGCATTGGGATCAAAGACATTTTGCTGGTGCATGATGTTCTCATTTTGTAAGGTGAGTGGCACAGGTGAATGTTTTCACCGGCACCTTAATATTTCCTAAAATTTGAAAAGAGGATTAAAAAAATCTGGCTCAGCACTTTGCATAACGTGAAAATATTCAAACAACTTTTGAAGTTGCAGGAAAGTTTGAGTATTTGTGTCAAAACCATACGTCTGTCATGAACCCTTTTCTGGCAAAACAAGTAGTGTCAGACTGTGATGGCTTTTGGATTATTATAATGTGTTAATTAGAGGTTTCAACTGCCACATCTTATGAATGAAAAGTTTCATATTTAAAGCTCTCAAACATTTTTTTTTTCCACACATTTGATTAAAATTGTTGAACGGTAAATTTAATCAAATTTTTATTTACTTTTACTTTCAGTTTTTTCAAGTGGGGATATTCTTGCTGCTAAACGTAAATCAGATTTACAGTTGAGATATGGGTGACAGCCAGTGAGGACTTTTTGAGTTCCTTACTTTAAGAGTATTTTATTTTAAATTTAAAGACAATGAATTGATCACAATCTCGATACACACAGTTAGCTGGAGATACTTCACTTTACTTTTGTAATTCCCGGACTGGAAATACTTCTTGTATTTTGCTCATTGTTCTTTTTTTTTTTTCTTAATTTATTTAATCATTTTTTTAAACAATACTGGTTACTGGTACCACTGGATATTTTTTAATGTACAGAATTTGAATAAATTTTTAATTATGCTGAAAACAGATTGATTTCATTTGATTTGTCTTTACACATCCAACAGCTCATGCTGTTTCCAATTAGTTCAGCTTAATGATCTTCAATATGTGCATGTGCACATCTCAAAACTATACAATTATCACTGAGCTTGACTGAATAAGCCTGTCTGAATGAACCTGCATTGAGCCAACATTTTTTATTTATTGAAATATATTTGTGACCACTAGATGGCAGAGAGAATCTATAGCATCGACTTCGAAAAGTGTATACTTTGCTGCACTGCACATGGTGCATTCATGCAGTAGCCCATTTTAAAGTGCCTGGGGTAGTCGTACGAGCACATGTGATGTGCAGTATGGACATCTGGAAGACCATGAAATTGCACAATGCTAATGATTGAGATTGACTAACATACGTTTCCCCCTGGAGACAGATGTTAATGATGATTTCTGCTTACTATACATAGGGCAGTATAGCAGTGTTGACATGGCATAGATATAAACTGGCTCCCTCATGAGGTTCGATAAAAGCTGTTACAGGATCCGGATCATGAACCCAAGATTTGAGGGAAAGGTGGATTTTGATGAACTGTCAATCTAAAGACTGGCGGTAAATGCTGTAATACTACTACGACCTACTACACATTACTACTACTACTGCATATTGTGACAGCAGCAGCTTCGCTAATGTGCCACATTCAGCATAATCTGATGTGATTTTTTTGTCTAAATCTCAGGGGGTTCACTCTGGAGTGCATTGTTTAATCTTTGAATAGTGATGAAGACCTTCTCCTCAAGGTCAGACTGTAAACAATAAGTACATTTGTGGAGATAGGAGTAGGTAAGATGAACTGGTCTCTGCTATTGTCGTGGTTCTCAACTGCAAATCCATGACAGGATGAGTGTGAATACTTTGTACTAATCCTTCCATTCTACATTAGCTCAGCTGTGTGTTCTGTGCTGCTTAAATCTGTGTGTTTTGCCTGCATATTGCTGATACAGACCTTTGCAGCAGGGTAGAGACCACAATCAAACGCCTGCTCTCATTTTCACTTGACTACAATCGTCAGTTGTTGGTGTTAACTGATTGTCTTGCCTCTGAAACTCAATCTGAGCGAAAACAAAACTTCCTTTTCATCTAATTTAAGGCTTATCATTTCAGCTTTGAGAGCCATCCATTATGCGTGGAGAGAGCATTGTTTCATTCTGTAACACCATCCCTTCTACCCCCCCTTGTCATGCATTCAGACATGTGTTAAAAGCACACCATTACAGGTTCTACATGTTTCCTCTCAGGTGTACCGACACCAAACACATCTCACCTGTATTGTGCTTTCAAAAATGTCCCGTCTGCCTTTACAGAAAGCGAGATGGAGTAAAGGTTTGCGTTTGTTTTCCCAACAAAACAGGGGAATCGTCAAAGGAAGTGCCCCTCCACGTCACACATGACAGGCTGTTTTTACTTCCCTTACACAACATGGAGTTACATAATTGGACAGGATTTGTGAGAATCTGCGGGCAGTTTATATGACAACTTAAAATCAGGTCAGACTTTCCAGTAGAAGGTACTGTACTGTAAGCACACCCTTGAACCCTGAAGTCCTGAGTGTGCTTCAGTATGCTACATGTTATGCACACACTGTTAACCAAAGCAGCTTACGGTACACTGACTTTTTACATATTTTAAACCTGGACTGATCTCATGTGAATTAAACCCCTAACCCTGGCACTGATCACACCGGCGTACCGACTGAGTCCTTTAAGTCCATTTGAGCATGTTATCATGACCAAATGAGCCCGTGTCCACGCTAAACAATACGATTCATTTGAAATGCATAGCTTTGAACTCTCAAGAAGACCGTCAGTGCACTTTGACCTTAAATGCATGGGGTATAATTTGACATCGCTGCAATTTCATATAGAGGTACATGGTCCATGACGATTGCTGTGTTAGTTCAGTCTCATGCAGGCAGGAGCTCTGACCGTGTGATCGTTATAACAGTGTATCTCATTACACCATCTGCTTGTATCGCAGTGTTCTCAGCCTGCCAGTGCAATGTCTTACTTTAGAGCAGTTGTTTTCTCCGAAGAAATCAAGTCCCTCTGATAGACCATGTGATGATGTGTCAGACTCAGCACATCAAGGTGTTGTATATTTAATAGTTTGTTTGTCATCCTATGACAGGTTGGAAAATAAGAATGTTGTGAATGTGAAACACACACAGAAACACATCTCTCGTGCAGGTGACTAGTGCATGAAGAAAGTCAAGAACTGGAACATTTTATTTCAGGTGCTATAGAGGGAAAAAAAAAAGCCAGAGAGCCACAGCTGATGTTTGTTTCTACCTTGAGTCACGGAATGGATGTTTTAGGTACACCTGAGAAGACACCTGAGGCCTCTTCTTTTTTTTTTTTGTTTGAATAAAATAGAGAGGCACAACGTGGTTGTACGACGTGTCTGTGTAAGGAGCCCAGCGGACAGTTTGTGTGGGACGAGGTAGAAGAGGTGCAGTATGCAGCCAGCTACCTAGAGAGAGGGCATCTGGCTTGGCTCACTGATAACTCCCCCACAGCCCAGAGAGCTGCCGTGAGTCAGGTGCTCATGCAAACACTACCATGGGAACCAGGAGTATGAGTAGGAAATAAGAGTGAGCGAGAGAGGAAGAGAGAGAGAAAAGATAAGCTGCTTTTCTCCAGTGTAAGTTTTCTGCTAATTCTGCTTTTTCCTTCATAAAGCCCCTTTTCCTGACTCTCATGTAGCTCCTGCCTCTGGATGACGTCAAATTTCAGTATGACTTCTCTGCTTTACTCCCAGCAGAGGATTTGAGCTGGAAAAAGGTTCTTCTTCTTCAGCTAAAAGGTCTAATATCAAAAATAGAAACAGACGTTAAAAGAAACTGAATGAAAAATAGAGACAGGCTAATTTGCAGCACTTTATGCTAAGTGGTTCTGTGCATGTGTTGCACAGCTCAAAAGGTCAGCCAACTCAGCTGATTTAAAGGCTAACACGCCATCATTGTTTCCTAACAGCCAGCCAAAGGAACATAGGTTAATTCAGTGTTTCTTTCTGCCATGGACACGATAAAAATGGTACAGCATTTTGTTGTCAGTGTAAAGAAGATGCTGAAATGTAAACTTGAGTTTCAATGACGTGTTTGTGATCAGGTTTCATGAAAGTCGTATCACTGCTGAAGGAATCCCTTCTGAGGCCCAGATGTACAACCAAACTGTGGGGTTAACTGGTGTCTTCAGCCCCCTTAGGAGAACTCAACAGCGAGAAAGGTCACTACAATGTCATAGCAATAGATACGCAGGATTTCAGCATTTCTCAACTATTACTCATAACCGCTTATGGATATTACCAAACAGCTGTAGAAATATATATTTTGGCTTGAGATAACTTAAAGTCCCACTCCAATCGTTTTTTTTTTTACTACTTAAAGTGTTCTCAGTGGTCTTTAAATCGTGATTATGAAGTTTTTTTTTTTTTTTTTTTTTACCAAAAATTCTGCAGAGCTCCAGTAGATCATTAGCAATTCACCTCTGAGTCGTGGACGGAGACAGAGCTGCTCTGCACACTCATTAGCTGCACATTTAGTAGACCCTCCAGAAAAACACGGGCCAAAATCCTTGATTACGCAATTAAATATGCGGGGTTTTCATGACATTTTATGCGGGAAAATTGCGGAAAGTTGTAAAGTAAGCGAGTAGTTGTGAAATACGCGAAAAATGCAATATATGCAAGAACTGGGAAAAAAAGATTCTTCTTCTCCCACATCCTGTTACTACGCTACCACTGAATGAAAAGGAGCAATTTAAAGATAAACTGGTATACTCGATGCAAGACACATCACAGTAAGTGCTGGTTATGTTTAATTTATTATCAATTTACAACTATTTTGGTTATAGTTTTCTCATTTTAATGCGGAAATTGTGAAATCAAGCGGGACCCGCATTTTTTCCGCGAAAATATGAGATTATTGCAGGAATTATGCACTGTTTTTCGGGGAAATATACAGCCTTTTGGGAAATATTTGTTTCCCGCATAATCAGCGACAGATTGGTGATTTATGCAGGAATTCATGCGATTGCATAATCGCGTTTTTCTGGGGGGTCTTATTTAGGTTAACTTGCAGCCTAAC